TTTTTAAGCGACTGAAACCAGTTTGCACTTGTTTAAGTTTGCGTATCAATTGGTTAAATTAGACGATATATATTATAAATTTGACGATTGGATAAATTAGACGATATATTATATAAATATAGAATATTTATTACTTCAGATATTGTATTAGTATATTATAATAATTAGATCAAATTATGAGACGCATTGCAGTATTTTAATAATTAGATGTTTTGATCGAGTTTGTATGCAATATCTTTATATTTAAACATACATGTAATGGGTTTTTATTCAGGAGATTTTTTATATACTTCCTATTTGTATATATTTTTTACGTATTTACCAATTGATACACGAACGTAAACAAATGCAAACCGGTTCCTGCTGCGCAAAAACAATAAAGCTATCTTGTATCACCTGATAATTATATATACACTGAGTGGCCAAATTATTATGACCACCTCAGAGTTTTATGCAAATGAGTTATTGCGCACAGCGTTGCCGCTAGAGGGCAAGATAACCATAACACGGGAATGCTGGACAAGTGAGTCATCAGTTATACTGTGTTGCTTGCTCAGATATGGGAAAGAAAAGTGATTTCACTGAATTTCAACGTGGAATGATTGTGGGTGCGAGATGTGTCGGAACGAGCAACAGCAAAACGGCTGCACTTGTGAAGTGTTCTAGAGCAGCAGTTGTTAATGTGTACAAAGAATGGACAATCAAGCAAAAAACCGGATCTCAACGTCAGACTTGTGGTCGTCACAGGGTACTGAATGCTCGAACAGAGAGAAGGCTGACCAGGGTTGTGCAGCGCAGCAGGAGAGCAACAGTGCGACAAATTGCAAGTGATCTTAATCAAGGAGCAACTGTGAACGTCTCTGAACGTACTGTTCGACGCACATTGCGCCGTATAGGGTATGGAAGCAGACCACTGAAGGGGTGGTCATAATAATTTGGCCACTCAGTGTATATATATATAAACTGAAATGAAAGACCACTATTATGAAGCCGTTGCTTTAATATTCAAAAACAGACATAAAATATTTTAAATGTCTCATTAATCAAACTTATGCTTCATTTAATGCTATTCTCAATAAATATACAATAAATATACAATCTCTCAACATAACTATTAATATCCTTCTTCTCATAGTTAGTGGAAATCAAATTCTGTAAATCGAAAGCCTTTCGATAACCGTGTGATTAGAATCATTTTAGTATTAATATCCGTAACCGTTAAACCAGAAACTCCATTAACTGTAAACTGCCGGAAGTCATTAACATCAATGTCTAAAAACATTTTTCAAATTCTCAGAGCGAAATTGTAGGCATTGAATGAAAGCATATCGGAACCTGGTTATCTGTAGTTACATTTTTAATATTTTCATAAGAGCCAGTTGCTTTCGAAAATTTTATCTTTTAATTCATTAGTAACTGTGAGCAAAAAAAAGAAGAAAAAAAACTGCATTAATATTCCACTTGATTCGCCTGAAAATCAATCGGGACATTTTTCCGCTTATTATCCTTTCGCCAGATGCTTTTAATATCTTATCACTTTTGTAGGTCGTTTGGCTTCCTCCCAAACCTTTCCATCAAATTCACCCGTGCGTTGAATCAACTTTTTATCCTCAAATGCGGCTGAGTCTGAGCGATTTGTAAAACGATAAAGGACATTGTACAATTTCCGCCAAACAAATAAATATGATGCTTAAATAGTGGCGGAGATTTTGTTTATCTATTTATTCTCTTTTTCTTATCTCGATTACACGGTAATTGTACTCCTTTTTAACTTAAGAATCAGATGGATTTATGATAAGCACATTTATCTTAACACAAACAAAATGCCTGTAATTGCTGTCTAAACCTTAAGCATTAACGTAATTATATTTCTTTGAAGACTCTGTGGATTTATGAAATAGCACTTTAATAGTATGCTATGCTATTGTAATAAAAAATTGTAAATTTGTAACAGTTATTCATAATTCTGACTGTTAGGTAAGTTTTGTCATATCTCAACACAGTGCCAGCTTCGCTAATTTTAAAAATAGAACAAAATGTTAAAGTAAAGCCACTATTTTGTAAAAATTAAAAAAGTCTGTGATCTAACTTTGTAACGTTTTAAAAGCTGATCCAACATAGAAATGTTTCGCTTCATAACATGCAAAAAACTGAGAATTATTATACGTTGATTTTAAGGCTGTTTTTCGAAGATTTTGTCGTTCAATAAAATGACGCTTTTTTGTGAATGATATGCTATTTTAACAAAGATTGTAAGTGTGAGCTTGTTACAATTATTCACGATTGTTAGGCAAGTTTAATCGTAGGTCTATGTCTTGTACATCTTTGGGCAGCTATGCTAATTATCAAAATGGCGTAAAATGTCAATGTCTAGTCACAACTTTAAAAAAATAAAAAAGCGTCTGTGATCTTACTTTTTTAAACATTTGAAAAATTACTCCGACGTAGCAATGTCTTGGGTTCCCAATTTTATGGGTTTACGACTACTAATGTTCAACTCCGTAGCCTTGTCATTTTGAACCCAATCCAGAAGACAAGGGAACTCCTGAATCGAGTATAGGGAGAAATTTGCCTTCGTGGAGGACTTTTTTTTGTGTAGAGGAAGACCACGAGAACCTCCCAAGGTTAGCCTGATAGCAAGGGGACTCGAACCCAAGATCCGTCTACCACTGAGGATTATTCACGTCAGCACTGTGGTAGGTGTAAGTTGGATGCGGAATTCGTATCGACTGGGATTCGAACTCGGTTCGCCTCATTGGAAAGCGAACACTCCCCTTAGTATATGTATTTTATTTTATTTTATAACCGTCGTTGAACAGCCGATCCAATTTCATGGGTTTACGACTACCAATGTTCAACTCCGTAGCCTTGTAATATTGAACCAATCCAGAAGACAAGGAAACTCCTGGATCAGTACCCCCAGAGGTATTGACTTGTTATGAGAACATGGAGGACTTTGAGACTCGACAGATTTAACGTGCATCAGTCACCATTTACTACACCGGGAATCTTCAGCCGGCGAGGATCGAACCCAAGACCTCTTGGACATGGGCCCAGCACCCTACCGACCAGGCTATCCCGGCCTTTTAGTATATGTATTGCTTAAAATTATGGCTTTGATTCGAGTTCAAGGCACTAAAAATATGACACTAAAATGCAAGGCACTAAAAATACGGCTCACAAACATTTCCATAAAAGCCTAAAATAAAAATGAAATTGAGTATGGAAATAGATGATAAATTACTATTTTTAAATCTGGTATTATTCTTTTGATTTGTCCTTGAAGTAAAACAATGTGCAGCTGCATAAATATATATTACAATAATATAAAAAAAATTACACGAATTTTTACGTTTAAAAGTTCTGCTTTAACATATTAAATTCCATTCATATATTTTCTTCCGGCTATAACATTTCTTTCCTTCATAAATTACATGATCTAATCACAATTTATCTACAATAAAAATTGAAATGTGATTTTATAACTCTTGATATAAAATCTATATTGCTTTTTTATGCATTTTACATCTTAAGTATTGAAGATATTTTCCAACAGTTATCAAATTTTTGCACATTTGTATAGAAATAAATTTTAAAACCTCAAAAAACATTATTTTAGATTACTTTAACTGTGGGATGGCAAAATTTTATCTAAAAGCATTTTATGCATCCTTATTTTAACTACCAGTTAGGTTTTTTAAGAGTCATCTCAGAAAATCTCGGTTGAAATTTTTAATTGTAAATAATGCCCATTTTTCAATTTTAACCCCAAAAATAATAAACGTGGGGTTGAATTATTTTACAACCAGCTGTTAAAAACATCGACTCTGCTTGTTTTAAATATTTAAATGCCGTATTGTAAACCATTTCTGCATCAGCCCATTGTATGCCAGGAGGTCAAGACTCCGCAATTTTGTGTCCAACGGTATGGTGGTGGCAATGTTGTCAGCATTTCGCACCGACCACCTGTACTTTCTAGACTAGCTGGTACACATCGACCTGAAACTGGGCGGGCTTAAAGCAGCAGTCGGGGTTGAGTTTGTTTCAGGCTTTTTCTCCAATAACAGCTCAGTGCCTTAAACCATTCCGGCTCAATGGCAGAAGGACCGGGATATGCACGTTGATCAAATATATTTTGACCCATACCAACGTTTTATTTTGAAATGACTTTTCATGCTGTAAGAAGTGAAAATAATGGTAGTACATTAATGTTTAAATTAAACAGCTGCTTTGTTATGCTTCAGCGTTAAAAGAAGAAAAGAAAAAACAATATCTTTAAGTCATTCCAACATTTAAAGTAAATAAACAAATAATAAATAGGATTTTTTTCGCTGTAATCAAGCTGACAAAGGTCGGGATAGCCTGATTGGTAGGACACTGGGCCCTTGTCCAAGAGGTCGTGGGTTCGATCCCCGCCGGCCAAAGACTCCCCGTGTAGTAAATGGTGACTGATGTACGTTAAATCTGTCGAGTCACAAAGTCCTTCATGTTCCCATAACAAATCCTACCTTTGGGGGTACTGATCTAAGAGTTTGCTTGTCTAGATTGGTTCAAAATTACAAAGCTATGGAGTTGAACATTAGTAGTCGTAAACCCAAAATTGGGTCGGTTCTTCAACGACGGTTATAAAATAAAAAATAAAATCAAGCTGACAAGGGTTCCATCTATTTTTCATACTAGGCTCTATTATTATTTATTTATTTATTTATTTTTGGAGGTGGGAATGACTGTCACTATTGTGGGCTTTAATTTATTTCTTATTTTCCGTTTAAAATAAATTTTTTCATTAAAAACCCTTGACCAGTAAAATTTAAAGGAAGACCATAATCATTATAATAAATAAATAAATAAATAAATTTATTCATACAAAGTTTTAAGATGAAAGGAATTTAATTTCAAACAGAAGGATCCCTATGTATCTACTTTACTCTTTTTTTCTCTTCCGAAATTAGATTTTTTAATCTTATTAACTCGTTTTGTTGTTCTTCAATAAGTTTATCCAAATTTGCCATTTCCTCGGCACTCTTCGTTCTATCTTTCTTTGTGGAAGAGATCACAAGTTCAATTTTGTCGCGTAATTCCTTCATCTCTTTTGTTGGTCTAGCCTTTCGAATAAAAGGCAGTCCCATGCTGGTCTCCATTTTGAAAATTACGTCTCTCAACTGTCCCACATCTCTTTGCAATTCATGAACTTCTTTCAAAAGCTTCGAGTTCTCTTGCGACAATCGAAAATCTGCCGTTGCCAAATTCTTCATTGTTTTCATGGGTTGTTTTTTTATACCCTCATAGGTATCTTGCAGTTTTTTTATTTGATGCTCAAACTCGGCTTTTAGATTTGAATCTAAAGATTCATCAGTTCGACTTTTGTACTGCGCCAAAACGTGCAATATATCTAGTTTGACTTTTTCGGCGTCACATGTAGGTGAAAGACTCTCATGTAACAGGTTCTTGTACTTGGTTAATATACTCTGATTGGATCGAATTAAATCTTGCTTTTGATGCAAGTCTTCCACTGAATCCTTCAGTTTATCATTTATAACAGAACACTGATCCTGAGCAATTTTTATGTCTGCTTCGAGCTTTGTAAAAGATACTGTCATGTTCGTGATTTTCTTTTTCCGCGCTTGTACCTCATCTTCCGCAGTCGCAATCGAAGACTTAACCTGATCAACGGCACTTTTAGAAACAGAATGGAATCTACGTTGCTTCTCAACATCTTTTTTTGAGGTGAAAAATTCTGCTTCGACATTTTGCAGCAATTTTTCTTTCCTCTTAAATTCGTGTTCTTTAGTTTTCAATTCCTCTTCAACTACCAAAACACATTTGGTTTTTTCTTGAATATTCTTTTCGATTTGCAAGGATATTTCGTCACGCTTTCTCTGATTGTCTTCTTGAACGAAAGTCAGCATGTTGGTTAATTTCCTGGTTTCCCTTTTCATTTTTTCTACTTTATCCTGTTCTCTTTTCAGTGTTGCTATCTGTTCTGCATGTTCGCGATCTACTTTAGCCTTGGCTTTTGCATCGAGTCTTTTCTTATCATCTTCAAAGTTTTGCTTTTTATTTCGAGTACTTCTTTTCTCTTCCAGCAGAATACGTTCAGCTTCTTTGATTTCTAATAGAATAGCTTCTTCTTTATCAGTGTCATCAGACCAAGTATTTGCGTAGGATTCTTCCAAAGCTCTCACCCTATCCTGATAATCAGCAACTTTCTCGGAGTGGTCTAATACGCATTCGTCCGTCTTTTTAAAAGTTGCATCTAACTCTACAGTGTAGTTAAATACTTTGTTCCTAAGCTCGTCTTCAATGTTCTTTAAAGGCTGTGTGAGATCTGAATCAAAAAGAAGAGACTGCTTCTTGTCACTTTTCATCACGAAAATCATTTGATTTAGCTCTTTCAAAATTAATTCATGCCGCAGAAACATGTTTTTCATGCTTTCCTCGTATTTCAGTTGGTTTAGTTTAAGTTCGCATTCATAACCTATTTCATTTTCTTGTATTGACATGTTTATCAGTTTCAGTTTCTTTTTCTGGTCTTCAAAATCAGAGCTAGAGAGAAAATTTACTCCGGAAAAAGTGCACTTTGCTGGACTGGAATTTTTATTAGGACCTTTCCAACACATTAAAAGCCCATCAGTTCCAACACTAAACAAGTAAGTTAAATCGGAACTGAACTCAATATCGATAGTTCTTCCATTATGCGCATATACTTCATCAAGAGCTTTAAAATCGGGACTAATAAGTTTCCCAATATTTCCATCAATAGTCCCGCAATATAACACTTCTCCCATGTGATCTGAAGCAATGACTGTTAACTCTTTACTGGAGCTTGATTCCCAGAGTACCATGGCATCGCGCAAGCATTTAATACCCTTTTCTTTGCAAATAGTTATGATAAATTGATTATTGGGGGTGACAGTAAGACTAGAATATGAAAGAATAGCTGTATTGGCCCAAATCTTATCCCAAGAAACAGCATCCCACTCGCAAATAACACCACGGGTATCACACGAAACAACTTTCATATCATTTTCTTTCCAAACAATATCAGTAACTAGACCAGCGTGACCTGCAAGTTTTGCCAAAAGGGAAAAAGTTACGAAGCGGTACACGCTCATACAAAAATCATTGGCCAGAACTAGGTATTGACCCCCGTTTGAAAAGCTTATTTTCGAACAGCTTTCAACTTTTAATGTTTTCTTATCTTTTAAGCCATTGCACACGATTGTGCAAACTCTGGCATAATACTTGAATCCGATTGCCACGTATAATCCGGTAGGATGAAGAGCCATAGATAATATTTCGTCTTTGAACTTTAAATATGCTTCTTGATTCTTTGATTCGTAATTCCATAAAATAAAAATGTTTTTTGAGCATGTTGCTATAAGAGATCTTCCTCTGGCACATGACAAAGAGAGAATCGGTTCAACATGTTGAGCGGGTAGAAGAAGCTTAAAATAATTACCATTTACTTCGCTGCAATTAAAATAAGCTAACTCACCAAGATCAGTAGAAAGTACAACAGTTCGGTTATTAGAACTAACCTCCAAGTGGTTGACAGTACCCCGTTTTGATGGGAGAATTCCAGGAAGAACTGAAATGTCTTCATTCTTTGGCAACAGCAACATTCTATAGAAATCATATTCAGCTATTTCTTCGCCTTTGAAAGTAACAACATTTTCCCCGAATACACAGAATAATTCTGTGGGGGAAACAGCCAAACATGTCACAGAGTTGGAACTTGTAGATAGTTGTTCCGACTCTGGAGCCAATGAATGCACCACGGATATTTCTTTAACCATTTCGATGCCACGAAAAAACAAAATCTTTCCGCTTACTGTACCAACGGCGAGATTTTCCTTCTGAGTCCAAGTAATGGATGTGTATTCTTCATTTTCGAACTTTTCGATGATGATTTCAGAGAAGTTAATCTCCCCAGTATTATCTTCATCCTGGTATTCATACACTCGCAGAATCTGCTTGCCAACTACAACCACCTCTTCTCTACCACCAGCATGGAAAGAAATATCACTGATGAAGGAATCAGGCTTGGAAGTCGTAGGACTAAACGTTGTAATTATCTGGCGCGTCAGAGACAGCCAAAGGACAACGAGCCAATCGGGTTCACTCCCAGAACCAGCAACAAATCTGAGACTTTGTGAAATGGAAATACAACTGAATGAGTCACTTACCATTGATTTAGGACCATTGTACAACTTTTTAGTTTCTGACTCTAAATTATATAAGCAAATGGACGCTGGTTTTCCTTTGATTGCTAGAGCTAGGTGGTTGAAACATCTTGTTATGGTAGATATTTCTTTACCATCTATAATATTGATAAGCCGTTGCGAAAATGTTTCTAAATCATACAAAACACACAATTTTCCTGCGATAAATCCTACAGTTGTGTCATTGTAGAAAGTTACATTCCGATTCCCTTTAACATTTCCACCAAAGGAATGAACGAATTCTAGATCCATTGAGCTTAACTAAAGCCTCAAATACATATATTTCGAACACATGGCTACTTTTTGGTTATAAAAACATATAAAGTTTGTGCAATTTATGCATTTCTTGAAGCTAAACTTCAGTTAATTACAAAAATAAAATCTCAAGTCAAAGAGACATTTTTTTAAGCTATAAAATATTGTTTCAAAATATTCGTCAATTTTGTTTGGTTGCCATAGCAACAGAAATTTTTATAACTCTTAGAAACAAACCAGTATGATGATAAAACAGGTGAATAAAGCGAAAACTAAATGTGAACAAGGAAAATCTGGACAAAAAANAAAAAAAAAAAAAAAAAAAAAAAAAAAAAAAAAAAAAAATCACGAAATCATTTATATGTACGAATGATTCAGACAGCGACGTTGTAAATAAAACATAATAATTAAATTTTAAAAACAGGAAGAAGAAAAAAAAAGCAATTACTTTCGACAATATTGATAGAAAGTAGATTGCAATAAAAATATTATTTTTTCTATCATAATGTTTTCTAACAAACTGAAATTAATTTTATTTGATTGTCAATCATTTAATCCTCAAGATGTTTTTTCAAATATTTGGCGATTATATTTGGAGATAATGCAAAATTTCCCCTAATATCTTTGGAAATTTTTTATTAAAACCAAATTCTGCGTATATTAGAGTCCATATGATGTCGACTAATTAATTATTCATTTAATGTTTCATAGCATAATAATTTGGAATGAAAAACGAAACATAAACGCATTTTCCGCTTAATTAGCTTTTAGTTGTCCTGATAAAGCTATAAGCTAAACAAGAATATTGCAAAGTAATTTAGAATAACTAACAACTCATAACTGTTTTAGTTTACATTTTTCTCCCTTTCACTTTTTTTTTTAAATATGCGTGTGTTTTAATGTATGTATAAAGCTATAAAGTAATCACAAAAACTTTTAATTTTTGCAATAAATAAATAATAAAATAATTTACTGAATAATTAGGACTAAAATAATAGACAGAATTAAATTAGATAGCCGTACCATAGTATGACCAATGGTCATAAACTTCTAGAGAATCATATTAATTTTTATACCATGACAAACTGAATTATAATGGAAAAGCTGTAAGAATAAATCTAAAAGACAACTTATTAGCAAATTAAAAAATAAAATTTAAAAAAACAACAACTTATTTTGAGTTCTGTGATAGTAGTTTGTCAAAAATAATTTCAAATATTATTTTCATAATTAAAAAAAAACAATTATAAAAATATTTATAATAGTGCTATTAATAGCTACTTTGCAAATGACATTTAAACCCAGGCACCTAGCTCTTTCAACAAGAACAGCTATGATATCTAATAACCTATTTTTTAATAATTTATTTTATAACTATTTTTATATTTGACTTTCACGAATTTGTATTCTCAGAACAAAAATTTAAAAGTGTTAATTTAGTTAAAATATTAATTTCAGTTGGAAAATTTAAATAATTCTTAAAAGAGGTAAGTGTAANAAAAAAAAAAAAAAAAAAAAAAAAAAAAAAAAAAAAAAAAAAAAAAAAAAAAAAAAAAAAAAAAAAAAAAAAAAAAAAAAAAAAAAAAAAAAAAAACTTGTTTTAGTACTGGGATATTAATTTGTCAAAAATTACTTAAGTCAATATTTTAATAATTTCAAAAAATAATTACAAAAATATTAGTACATTAATAGCTATTTTTTTTTGTTGCAAATACATTTGGGCCCAGGCACCGAGCTCTTTCAACAAGAACAGCTATCTTATAACTTTTTTTTTTTAAATTTATTATATAATTATTTTTTGTCCTGATTTTTGCAAATTTGTATTGTCAAAGGAAAAAAAAATTTGAAACTGTTAATTTATTTAAAATACAATATTAATTTCAGTAGGAAAATTTCAAATTATTCTTAAAAAAGGTATATACAATACCGTACTGTTTTGAGAACAAAAAAAAGGAAGAAAAAAAAGAAAACAAAAAAAAAAAAATTATAAAATTATACACTGCTAAATCTTACTTACCAAAATTACACATTGTTCATATAGATCACTTAATAATGTGATGTGTTTTTTTTTTTCCTTTTTTTTTGTATTTTACGTAATGTGTTTTATGTTTTTTTATATTAATATTTTTTTTTTATATTTTTTTTTTATTTTACGTAAATACATAAAATACAAAAGATTTAAAATATGTTTTATAAAAAAGCCACAGAAGTTTATTGAGAAACACATAAAAAGAGGCTGGATTAAACTTGGTATAGGTCATGGTTAGAAGAATCATTTTAAATTCATTCAACTCGCCCTATCAAATTACAAATAAATAAAAAAAAATTGAAACAATGTCATTGAAAATTTGAGAATGACGTTGTTGATTATTAACTTGATTGTTAAGCTGACATATATGATGTTATAAACTTAATGTATTCAATGAAAATGGAAGAAATTGTTAACGAGTTATTGCCCGTGATTTACTAGAAAAAATTGTTTTGAAACAATGCCATTAAAAGTTTTAGAATGAGCAGCGTTGATTATTTATACACGTTTAGAGTCAATTTTTCCCGAAACAATTTGTTACACAGTTACGTACGCATTGTTATAATACATTCAATAATTATTGAACGAATTTTTGAGCCGGAAGGAAGTAGCAGCCTAGAGTTAGAAAAAAAATTGTCTAGACAAAAAGTCATTGAAAACCATACAAAATGCTCAGCTGTATCATTGTTATTTCTTGTATAATACTTTTAGAAAAATGTTCTCAAAGAAACATATTCATTCGAGCCACAAATTTTCTCTCTCTCTTTTCTTTTTAAAATTTTTAATAATTTTGTAAACGTGCGCTAAGAACCAATTTGATATTTCTAATGTGATACTTTTAGAAAAATTTTCTCAAATTAACATGATTTTTTTTAACATACATTGTTCTCACGTACACTCTGGAACAATTATTTTAAATACAAAATCATTTTGACAGATATCCTTTACTTTATCAGAGATACCAACTGCTCCGGATTCGACAAAATGTTTTAAAAATTGATAGAGAACTGCAAACTAGAATTAGCATATTTTCGGTTAATTTCACAACATTTTTAAAAGGCTCAACACGGCTTATCTGTAACAAATCAAAAAATTTACATTGACCAAAATGAGAGCAAGAAGTTAAAAAAATGTTACAATTTTTAATAACACTATAATTTTAAAAGCATTTTTATAAAACTGAAGCATAAGCAAAGGTTAGAAAACTTAACTTAAACAAACCTTAAGCATAATTTCAAAATTGCTGGAATTAAAACTAAAATTAAGTTATTAACTCTCTTCATTTTGGTCATTTTGAATTTCGCATAGTCAACACTAGAAAGACTGAAACTTAGTATATACCTATATTTCCCAAAAGCAGTCAAAATGACTGGATTGTAAACGAATGTGTAAAGAGATTTGTCAAAATCAATTTTTTATATTATTTACAGTTATATAATAAGTTATCAGTACATATTAACAATAAAAAAATTATATGTTGTACAAAATTCTAAGAAATCGTGTCATTACATACGTATACATCATTGTTTTTCCAATTGAAATTAAAAGCAGTCAAAATGACTTCCTTAGGCAATCTAGTGTTATAAAGATAAAGGACCCCATGGCTAAAAAGTAACAAGCATATTCTAAAGAAATTGTGCCAGAAGTTTTGTCGTGTAAAATTTTCCAAAACATTTGCTGTTAAAAGAAAGATTGTTTACATAGAGTAAGTGTAGAAGTGTTTTCATATTTTTGTCCACCCCCTGTAGGTCTATCCCTTAGAGCTATATGACATAATCAACCTTAGAGAGAGGAATGGAATTGCCCATGGACCCCTTCTAAGAAATGAAACCGTAGCTGGGGAGTCCTTTTACCAACTGATAAGAAAAACGTACTCAGAGGGATAAAATAAACAATTTTTACTCTTTTCCAAGATTCCCAAGAGACCAGAGAAATAATTCAAGTCTCTGAATTTCGCAGAATGCCAAGAGAATCGAAGACCATGACACCAGTGAGAGGTATGTTTCCTATGTTTCTTTGTTTTTGATTACTGCTCACAGCTTAGAAATCATGTCATTTAGCATGATATTACTAAAAATTTTTTTATTTGAATGTGAAAAAAATCTCAAAAGTAATAAACGAGTAAAAAAATAAATAAATGGTGTTTATAACATGGAATTTTAGAGTTAAAAAAAGTAAGAGAATTAGCATATCTCAACGCAACGTCGTAGAGTCAAACTTAAAATCTTCGTTCTAACGTTGTTATGATTTCCTATATACTTAACTCGCTAGCATACAGAATTACTATTATTTCCTTAAAATATCAAAAATGGTAACTCTATTTATTGTTATAAAAAATTAGTGGCACAAAATTAGTGACGGAATTAGTATGTTACAGTTTCCTTTATTTCACTCACCAACATTTTTTTTAAAAGTTAAAAACTGGAGACGCACTAGTTTCAATAATACTTTTTTATGGGAATAAAAAAAGCATGTTTGCTAACCGTTATGTATTAGCTCAATAAATGTAGTTTAAACCTATAAGCATAGAACGGACAGATATATATTTTTTTATTAAAATAAGTTATTGCTTACGTAAAAAAATAATACTCAATTAGAACAATGCTCCAAAAAAAAGGACCATAATAAATGCTACAATGCTCCAAAAAAAAGGACCATAATTTTTGATCTAATGATCGGATCTTCACGTTCCATGACTCAATCTTAATAGCTCGAAATGTTCAAATATGCTAATTAATTAGTGCAACCAATATTTTAAATTACGAAATCAGACCACAAAAAAACGTACTTTCTCTGAATATGCATACCTTTTTCTCAACTGATTTGGATTTCTAACTCACTCCCAAAATATTGGGGGTAATCGCAAAAATTGAATGAAAAAAATTTATTCGTCTTATTAAATAATCTAAAAATAAAATACCATATTATTATTGAAAACGTTTACTATTATCTTAATATTCCTTTTTTA